TTAAAAAATAACTTCATTTATTAACATAGAAAAGCAAAATAAAACAGCAATGAGCTCCCGTTTGGAATTGGGGTCTACCAAATTGGGACTCTTAAAATCCCTCCCTTCTTCCTTCCCTTCTTTCCTCCTCCTTCCCTCCTTATCTTCTTTTCTTTGTCTGAATACTAAGTCCTGTGGGGATGCTGGCAAAAGGGCATTTGCAAATGCAAATGTTAATTGTGAGGAGGGTTTGGCAAGAGAATCACATTGTTTAAAGTGCTTACTTGAGTTGAAAGTATTTGATATTTGAAATTTGACTGGACAAAGTATGTGCCAGGGCAGTGATTACAAGCTGGGTTTTGTGGAGTTAGACAAATTTGGGTTGAGACCTGGCTCTGTTGCTTACAAACTGTGTGCAGGGCACTCTAGTCTGTTGATCTTAGCTATTTTCTTCTGTTGCATGGATTAAATTAGATAAGTATTAAAGGTTTTGGCATGCAGGAAGTAATTAGAAACAATGGACAATCAATAAAAATAGATTTATATAATTGTCAACATCATCAATTAACCAATAATTTGAAATAGCAATAACATTATATACTGAGTGTGTGTGTGTGTGTGTGTGTGTGTGTGTGTATGTGTGTGTATCTTGTGTGTTTCTGGGCTTTCTGTTTGTCTTGTTGACTTTTCTGTGTGGTCGTATATGATTCTATGCTGTTTTAATCCTATAGCTTCATATGATAAAATTACCATTTGTTGAGTACCTCCAATGTGTCCACATATATTATCAGGACACTTAATTGTCTCGTATACAGTCTCCAGGGTAGATTTTAATGATCACATCTGTGAGGAAAAGAGGAAAAAGGACAGGGTGGAGAGGTCCCGCTGTACCAGAGGCTTCAGCCCATCCCAAAGGGAGCTCTGCAGCTTGATGGTCCTTCAGAGTTGTCCTGAATCCAAACAAGGTAGCAGGCCTTTGTCCCCACATCTGCCAGCGGTGGGGGCTACCACTGGCAGGGGTGTAACCTTGGGCAAGGACACTTTTCAGGAGCTGAGGATGAATAAAGATCCTCTAAGAAGGGATCTGGGCTGCACCTCACAACTTCCACTATAGCTCCTGAGTGTCATTCATTTAATATAGTCTCAGATATGATATGCTAGTATTTTATTTAAGATTCTTCTAGTTAGTCATTAGTGTAATGAGTATGCCTTTTTTAAAAAAAAAAAATATGGGCTACCTGTGTCTAGCTAATGCCAGCTTTCTAAACCAACAGAGTATAGAAATAGAGATAAAAGTCCATTTTCATTACTTGACTATAGAATCAAAGATTAGAGAAGTTTACTATTTCTTGATACTTTAAAGAACTCACTCATAAAACCATCTGGACCTGGTACCTTTGGGAGGGTATAAGTCATGTTTTTTGGTATACACAATTTCATTCATAACTCTGTAATAGCCATTTTCTATTTCCCTCGAAAGTCATTTTGCTTCAGAGATTTTAAATTATATGTGGAATAAATAATAAGAACATAGTGCTAAACATCAGAGAAGATGAATAATTTGTTACTTAGTCATTGCCTATCCTACTTTCCCCTTTTCTCGGCCTTCATTATGTAATCTGAGTTGCTGTCCGTACTCCTCTGAGCCCTCTCTGGGTGCAGCAGAGTGACCAGTGGTTAGGGCTCTTCCCTGGTTTGCCTGCTTTATATTTCCTAAGAGCATCAGCTGTTTCTCAATCTGCTCCATTTATTTGATTCAGGCAAGTGTTTATTGAGTGCCAGAAACTATTTTAGGCATATGAAATATGTGGCTGTGAACAAAGCAGGCTTCAGTCCCTCCCCTCATAGAGCTGATGCATGTTGTAGCTAAGTAGACAGAAAGCTAATTACATAAATAAGATGCATGTGCTTTATACTGAAGAGGAAAGAAAAGCAGACAAGAGAAATAGAGATGGGGGAGGGGGAGGAGAGAGTTGCAGTTTGGGATAGAGTAACCAGGGAAGGTCTCACTGAGATAGTGACATTGAGTAAACACCTGAGGGTGATGAAGGGTGCCTTATGTAGTCATCTGGGCAAGAGTGTTTCAGACAGAACAGCATGTACAAAGGCCCTGAGGTGGAACATGGCTGCACAGTCAAGGATCAGTGAGGAAGATAAGCAGATTGGAGGGAAAGTAATATGAGGAGAAGGAGGAGGCCAAAAGGAAATGGAGGTGCCCTTGCTTTGGGTCTTTGAAGGACTTTGACTTTTACTCTCTGCAAAGTGGGAGGGCATTGGAGGGTTTTGAGCAGAGAAATGGCGTGGTCCATTTTACCTTTTAATAGGCTCATTCTGGCTGCTGTGCTGAGAATAGACCATAAAGGGTCTAGGGCAGTAAGCATTTGGAAGACTGTTGTGAACTGTGGGCTGAAAGATATATGCTTCGGACCACCGTTTCTCCAGAAAAGAAAGAAATCCAGTTGGGTCATTTGTGTTCTATTTTTGTTCCCATAAATGGAAAAAAAAAAAAAAGTACATTTACATTCAGACACAAGATTTTCAGGATGAAACCATTAGTGGCTAATATATTCCTAAATAATACATGACATATGCTCTTGACTGGTTTCAGTGTTGTTCGTCCTTCTCTACCTCAAGTTTCTCAATTTATTATTTTATCTCCCAGTAGCATGTGACGGTGGTGTTGGAGTGACAACAGCCCTCTAAGTTGTACTGGATGCTTAGCACCAATAGTAGAATTTATTAAAAACACACCTTCTCGCTCCTGCTGCTTGTTCTGACTGAAAAAGGCTTGCAAACTTCTTTGAACATGTTTTTGTGCAAACATGTTTTCTGAGACCTTGGATATTTGAAAATATTTTTTGTTGCCTTTACTGTTGAACAACTCTTGACTAGGTATGCAGATTCTTGCTGTTGCCTGATTGTCATTTAAAACTTACTATTACATAATGTGATCTTAGATACATTAATAGTAACCCTCTCCCTACCCTGATACTTTATTTTTTTCATTTTAATGCTTGAGATTTAAAGGAAAAAAAGTCATATACTTCTCGACATTGGTCTCTAAGAGCTGTTCATCCATTTTACCTTTTAACCTCGAGTCATTTTTTCATATCTAGAAAGTTCATTCCTGTTATGCCCTGGCCATACTTATGATCTTGTCTGAACTTCCCTTTGGAACTCATTTTATTCATGGGTTGCATCTCTGTTCTCTTCACTCCATTTCTATTTACTTAAGCTTCATCTATATTTTCCACTCATTTCCTTACTTTCTGTTTTCTGAAATGACTTCTCAATTTTGTGCTCTGTATCAAGTTCGGTTTTCGTCAGTGTTAAGTCAGCCTTTCATCAGTTTGGTTAGGACTGTGTGTTTGGCCCCTGAGCCTTTTCATTTCATCAACATCCTTTCTCATCTCTGCACTTTCTTATTTAATAAAAGTAACATAAATATCATTTAGAATAGAAGGTGAATTTTTTCTAAAAGAAATCTTCTGTTTGTGAGGGTAAACCCTATTCAAACGAAGAGTTTTCCTTCTGAGCCATTACCCTTCTCCCTCTTGAGCAGTGGGAGCCCCTCACCTCCACGACTTTGAGTGTTTCCTTCTTACCTTGTGCTTGAACAAGGAGTAATCTCACTGGGTTCATTGTGGAGTTGTATAGGGAGAAACGTGTGGTCTGTGTCTTTTCCTTGATTCATCTTGGGGTATCTAGTGAATCACCACCGCTTCTTCCCCCCACTGCGCATTAGACACTCCCCTTACTGCCTCACTTATGGGGGGGCGGTTTGGGGAGGTTGGGGGTGGAGGCAGTGGGGGTAGAATAAAGTCTCACCATTGGCTTTGGGCTGCCTGTCAACAACTTAGCCTACCTGGTACTCAGCACCGCTCATGGCATGTGGAGGCACTTAATAAAATGCTTTTGCAAAGTCTGTAAAAGAAAATCCCTTTGGGAAAAGGGTATGATATTGAAAGTGTCTCAAAGTTGTGATAATCAGTATTTTGTAAACAATCCTCTTGTACTACAGCCAAGTGTTAAAACCTCATGAGTGACTCAGAATGTTTTTGACTCATAAATGTGAACTCGACAGAAATATATATTCACCCTTAGCTATTAAAAAACAGCAATAACTTGAATTTTCTTTAATTCTTAATTGTATTTTTCCCCATCTCCTTCCCTCTTCTGCTACCAAAGAAACACTAGCTCTTCTTTGAAGAAAGGTTGCTATTTATTTATTTATTTTTAGGTGAGGCAACCCTTGGCTGACCTCACAGGTTGCAAGGACCTTGTCAGCTTACAATCACTTATTTTTTTTATTTTTTATTTTTTACACCTACAACACTTGGTCTTCCTAGGTGGTCTCCCATCCAAGTACTAACCAGGCCCGACCCCGCTTAGCTTCTGAGATCAGACAAGATCGGGCTTGTTCAGGGTAGCAGGGTAGACGAGAGTTGCTGTTTAGAAAGGAGAAACATTTGTCTTGACACTTAGTAAAACGGCAATTATATTAGTTTTGAATCCTGAAGTTATTGAGTGTGAGATCTTAGAAAAAAACCAACGCCGTGGGCTGTACTCTTCATTTTATCAGGACTGAAGTTAAAGATTTTAAAAAATCTATCAAAGACATAAGGTTATCCGATTTGTTCCTAATCTGCTCTTAGCGCAAGGGTTACCCTCAGCTATGCCCAGTAATTTTCAGAGACAAAATCCTCCCGATTAGGTAACTTAGAAACAGTGCTTTATATCAGAGATACACACATGAGAACCCTCATTAAACTGAGCTCTCCCCTGCAGACCTTCCTCCACAGTGGCTCCAAACGGGACCCTTTAATGAGAAAGTCAGTTTACCAGCTGAAATTAAACCAGTCAAGAATCAGAATGAAGGACTATGTCCAAGGTAGCGATGGTTTAATCTTCTACAAGAACTTCATCTGCTTTCGACCCTGGCAGCTGTAAATCACACAGCAGAGCGTGAACATTAAAACTGCACGCTGAAAATAATGCATCTGTTTCATTTGTCTTTCCAGGTTTGAGATTTTTAAGAGCTCTCAGACTGATCCAGTTTTCAGAAATTTTGCAGTTTCTGAATATTCTTAAAACAAGGTAAGATGTTCTTTCTCCCATTTTATTTTTGTTTTCCCTTCATTTTGGTCCCCAGTGCCAAGTTGTAAATATCAAGTGTGTTTTGCTTCCGTCGCAATAAAGTTAAAGTCTGTTATTCACAGAAAGATTGATGTAACCTAAGATTGGGAGAAGGCCTGGAGAAGGGTTTGGGTCGCTCTCTTCGGCAGGGCTGGGGACTCTACGGTAAAGAAAAAGGAGCAGCTGTGCCTGTGTCCCCTGTTTGGGAGATGGTGCGGGGTTGCTCGGAAATCAGGTAACCAGCCGTAGGTGACTGGGGAGAGCCACGCAGCCGATGAGGGATACATCTGTTCATTGATTCGGAAGTCCTTGCTCCCAGTTCTAAATCGCCCCTTTATTATATCACTAAATAAGAAATTGAACCTGGCCGTAAAAGCAATAGAAGCAATGCTTTTTGAGAGGCAATCACAAACCTCACACGGCAAACAGAAAATCATTTCATTTCAAAGTACATTTTAGATGTTCATTTTATAGCCAGTGTAGCCCCTGGGGCTTGCTCTATGAATTGCCTTTTGGGGAATACCTAAAAACCTCCTGCCAAATGCACCACGACTACTTCTGTTAGCCGTGTTATGATCTGGACCAGGAGGAAAATTCCCCCAGAAACCCCTTTCCTGATGACCTGTGGGTTTGCGGAGCTGGCCTTAACCCAGGGCTGTCTTGATGAATAAACTAATAAAAGAAGTTAGACGAGCTCTAATGGAGAATAAGTATAGGTGGTAAATTTCTCTTGTAGGAAATTATACCTAAAGAAGCTCACTGCTAATGTTCCATTTCCTCTTAACGTATTTGATCAATAATTAAAAACGGGGTACCTCTATTTTGTGATTTATAATTAACGTGCCTGCATTTTGGGGGCCTTGGATTCAGCACTGTTTTCTCAGTAACTGAGGCTGGCACTCAGATTCCTGAATCTGTCACGTCCAACAAATAAGACCACAGGCTAGAGGGCTTCCTCTTTGGGTCTTAGTGTTTTTTGTCTGTTTATTTTTGGTTACGTCCAAATTGGTTTTTCCTCCCTAACTATTCATCTATGTGGATGTGAGGTAAATTCACTTTCTGTTAGCCCAGTTAAATAGAAAGTGAGCATCTAATGCCATAGAAATCTATATTATATCCCACCAGCCTATACTTTCATTATCCTGGGCCAGAATTTATCAGTCCTCTATTTAATAGTACATAATATCATTGATATAGAGTGAATATTGTTCATCTTCATAACTCCTCTGAGTGCCAATGACCTTGATTCTACCTTTTTATGGCTCCTCTATACAATGGACTCTTATGACTCTTGAAATTAAAATTATCAATAAAGCTAGCAATCCCCATGTTTACCTATATCGTATTTACTCCAGTAGACTGTATGTTTTAGGGCAGAATCAGTGAATACCCAGTGACAATCACAGGGGCTGTATTTAAGGGACACTCATTTTTTTCTTTTGGGGATGGTGTCATGTGGAACCATCCACACTCTCTAACATGGCATAGTGCCTCCGTGCCTCTCTCTCCTTGTTTTGTGTTTCCCTAATAAATTTGGGAGTTTTAATTCTCTGACACCAGGGTTTAAAAAGGTGCCATTACTTGGAGGAGTGACATGATGAGAACTGTGTTCTTGCCTTCCATGTATTCCACAGGGCTCCTTTCTGGTCTTGAGAATGATGAGCCATCTGAATAAAATCTCTTTTTCTGGACTTTTACCAAGAGAGCCTTCGATTTCCCATTCCTTGGAAAAGATTCCTCTCCTTTGGCTGAGGGAAACAGCACTAGCATCCCTGGTGAACAGTCTACCTGATAACTCTACACTCATGGGTGCTTCTTTTTCCCAGTGCAGAGGGCAGAGAGCTGAAGCAGGCTGCAAGGGAAAAGGCCGACTCTATAAATCGGGAGACCGCGGCCCCAGGGAGGGGTCCTGGGGTGGCAGGCTGCTGGGGGTCTGCCACCCTGAACCCAAAGCAGCATTTCCCAGAATCTCACTTCCCACTGAATTAAATTTTCTCTACTGTCAGAAGGTGCTTGTCATCACAACCCCACAACTCAGGTTGTCCCAGTTCCTCTTGCTTCTGGTCACAACCAGGTAATTGAGTCAATTCAGCAAGCCTGAAGTGAGCACCCGTTTGTGCCATCAGTGAGGTGGGGTGAGGTTAGAGTTCTGCTGTCAGAGATCTCACTGGGGGGAGGGAGAGCCCGCCTGGCCGACAGTGCAGTAGGTACTGACATACAAGTATAGCCAGGGGCGTGAGGCACAGAGGACAGTAATTAAGCTGGGCTTAGCATGAGTGTGGGGCAGTCAACGATCACTTCAAGGCAAAGGGGTGTCTCAGGTAAGCCTCGTAAAAAACTAGGTGTCATCCTGGTGGAGTTAGAGATTGGGCATGTGAGATATAGGGACGGTGGGCTGACTTCCAATCAAGGAACCTGCAGAAAGCTCACAGGTGAGAGAACATGGCCTTTGGGGAAACTTTGAGTAATTCTGTGTTCCTGGTGACTGGAGGTTCTGTGGTGGGAAAAAAGAAAGCAGAGATGAGAAGGGCAGGCAAAGGCTATATCGCCAGGCGCAGATTAAAACTGCATTGGATTGTAAGAGCTCTAGAGGGTTTAGGACAACTTCGTGAGCCCATTCTCTCTCCAGGTGCCTGGCTGCTTGCTTCTTTCTGTTCACCCCCAAGTGCAAATCCCACAGAGAAATGAAAGCCTTGGTTTTTATAGGGCTTTGGACTTTGAGCGATTTTCTGGTGACTTCTCTGTACCCTGCTGCTTTCATGTTGATCTTCCAGGAGGGTGGGTGGAACCCCATAATCATCTTTAGAGAGATTTTGTCTGGTTTTCTCTGGGGGTCAATCCCCACAAATCTGTTGCATTAGGTAGGGATGGGGACATTGCAAATGTGATTTGAAATTGTGGTTTCATTTTCTGTTCTTTTGGTGGCTTGCTTGGCCAAGAGCTGGAATAAATAGGGCAGGGAAAAGTAATGAGGTGGGGTGGGGGTGGCGGGGAGCAGGGAGAAGGGAGAGAGACAGAGAGAGAGACAGAATTAAGGAAGCAGTGAAAGGAAACCAGAACGAACAGATGACAGAGAAAAACATAGATGAAAGAGTTATGAGACAGTATCAGGGCCGTTCCCCAAACTGCTGGTCAACAGAAGGGCCTAAAATGCTTTGTGTCCTGAAAACAGCATGCTGAAGGGAACAATCGGAGACTCTGTGTCATTGTCTAAGCTTTTGACAGTTTCTCAGTTGCCCTGAAGGCTGGCGAGCAGGCTCGTAGGTGAGAAGACACTAGTTCTATAGTCAGAACAAAATAAGCAGCTCTGTTTAAAGGCTGTCATTCTACACCTCATTTAATGTGGTAGATATTGATGATTAAAACATGGATCATATTCCAAATAATGACTTGCTAGAGAAAACCCAAGAAAACCTAGACAAATTGTTAGATATAACAGATTTAGCAAGTTTCAATGTCCGAAAATCTATCGCGTCCTATACATCAACAACAAACATTTACACAATGTAATTTTAAAGGTAAAATAAAAACAAAACCATGTGTCAAAAATTAATTTGCCAATAGTGCTGCAGACTTTATGGAGCAAATTGTGTATTAAGAAAAAAAGAAGTCTCCTATCTGTTATCTTTTGCTCAGTGATGAGTGACCCTGAATCTCAGTGGCTCAAAATAACTATCACTTCTTAAAAATTTCCGATGATTCTCCAGGTCTGCTGGGCAGTTTGAGTCCAGGCTGCCTTGACTGTGGTCAAATGATGACTGCATGAAAAACATGCCTCACTCCTGGGCCTACCTCTTGCAAACGAAAGCCAGAATTTCAAGGCCTTAATCATGTACTTGGAGTAAAAAAGTCTTTCTTCTAAGATGGTTCTGTCCTCTCATTGGTGCTCCCTGCCACTTTCTCCACAGCCAAGAGCAGTGCCTACAAAAAGCTGACTGAAAAGTGTGGGAAAGACAACAGATAGAAGAAAGTAGGGCAGAACAGCAACTTTTTAATATTTAAAAATATACCCTTAAATTTGTAACAAAACAAACAAGTTATTTTATTTAATACTCACACATCTACCAAAAAAAACCTCCACAACCGTGTAATATAGGTATTAACAGATAAGGAAAGCTCATCTCAGTGCATTTGAATAACTTCCCATGGGACAGTTATGTACATGGTGGGGCCAGAACAGGAACTTACTCTACTGCATTTGAGGAAATGTCTAAAGATAGAACACACACACACACACACACACACACACACACACACACACACACACACACCATGGATCCACTAGTGATTTTTAAAAAAATGAAAACTGCCTTAGTGTTTGCTCTAATTATTAAAGTACAATATGCTCATTGTAAATATCTTGACAATAGAGAAAACCATAAAAGATAAAGTAAAATTTCCCAACAATACCAATGGTCGAGGTAACATTACAAATATCCTATCATATATCACTTTTACTTACCTCAAAGCATTCCGTGATACGTACATACCATCATTTACCTAAAAAACACATTTTGAGAACTAAAATCACTGAAATACATATATAGCCTCAGAAATGGCTTCAAGGTTAAAATTTTTAAAAAGAGTATTTGATATATAGACTGCAAAGGGCCATGCAGGTAGAGGCCACATTATGAAGACTCTTAGATGTCATGGATTTGATGCAGACAGCAAGAGAGAGCTGTCAAAGGATCTTAAGCAAAAGAAGAACATGATCAGATTTACATTTCAGAAAGATTCACTATTCTACCAATTGTATAGAGAGAGGGTTTGAAGCATCTAAGACCATAGAGCATGAGACCAGTCTGGGGGAAAGAACGTTAGGGAATGGCCTTAGGTAGTGCAAGTCAGGGAGAGCAGAATAAGAGGGATCTAGAGATATTTAAGTGGTGGAATTGACAGAACTCGATTTTGCTTTACTCCATGTCTTCTAATTCAGACCATCCATCTCACCGTGGTAC